CTCCTCCTCCCAAATTATGTCCGTATTTCAGGCTGGTTGGGCATGAAGGGGTACAGAGGGAGTGGGCCTAACAAGTCTCTGTCTTCTGGGGTTTCCAGCTCCATCTGGCAGGAGCTGACCTTGGCCTTGTCCAATCAGAAGAGGTGTAGGGAGGTGTGGTCCCCTTTCCCTTAGCACAGGGTTCCGGAGCTCACAGGCGAGGGGTGGAGCCTGTTGCACCCCCCACATTCTCCCTGTGGTTGAGAACAATGCACCACTGCATCTGGGCCTGTGGCTGTTCTGCCCCCTCCCACTAAGGTAGGCACCCAGCGCGGTTAAACCCTTTCCACCAAGGGTTCAGGGCAAGTTGCAGCTCCTTGGAGAGGAAGGTGTTGGCACTGGGTTGAGATACTCCCCTTGAAAGCCCCACAAACTAACTTAGCCGAGTAGAAAAAGAGGGGTGCTTACAATCGCGGTTGATGTGTTGCTGTACACCCCCCCCACACACACACACCCTGGACACACACCCCCCCGCCTCCCTGGACACCGCCCAGCAGTCCCAGCCCGGGGCGCGCTCCCCACCCTGCGCCCCTGCTCACCATAGACGTGGAAGCCCAGCACGCAGGTGTAGGTGGCCCACTCCCGGTCCCGGCTCTCATAGCGATTCCTCAGCAGCTTGCAGCCTTCGCCCACGTTCCCTGGGGAGAGGGCGCCCACCCAGCTCAGCCCTCACCCGGCCCGCAGAGGGGAAGCGGCTGGGAGGCCAGGTTGGAAAGACTGACACGCGAGGCCGCGGCACGTGATCTGGTCACCGCAGCAGCCCTCGGCCCCGGGCAAACCCAGCCCCGAGCTGCCTGAGCGCTCCCAAGGCTTCTCCCAGTTCCTCCTCCCGGGGCACCGCTGTCCCGCCACACCTGCCCTGCGGAACTTGTCCGAAACAACCTTTTCTTAGCATATTTTTCAACTCCCTCAAATCCTTGTGGGGAAAAGATGGTATAAAACTGCGTGTGTTTTTTCCAAATCAGTTACTCCTATGTGTATAATCCCGACTCCAACCCCATCTCCACGTCCCCATCTGACAGCCCCTCCTCCTGGAGCCCCCCACATATCCTTCACACACACCCCCTGCAACCAGGATCCTTCACACACACACAGACCCCACCCCAAGGACCCTCTCCCCATGCCCACCCCATTGCCACTCACAGTAAAGGATCTCATAGTCCCCAGAATTGGACATGATGAAGTTCCCGTCCTTGGACCAGTCAAGGTGAGTAATAAAGCTGGAGTGACCCTGGGAGCAAGGGTCAAGAGACTAAAAATGGAGCCCCCGTTCCCATCCCCTAAGCCCCCCTAAGTGCCTTGGGCCCTTTGAGGAGTTTCCCTGCTCTGGCCATGCCCCACCCGCCACCCCAGCTTTCTCACCACACAGCGGCCAAAGCGGCTGGACTTGGCACCGTCACTGGAAACACTATAGATGTAGATCATGTTGTCATGGGAACCAATGGCCAGGTGTAACCCATCTACAAAGACAGTCACTCAGACAGGGAAGGGCCAGGGACGGGGCTGGGTCCGGGGCGGGGGTGGCTCCCACCTGGGCTGTACCGAACCACTGAGAGCTGCTCATTGCCGTCGGTGACGTCAGACACGATCTCTCTGGTCTCCGTATCCAAAACCAGCCACCTGGAAGGGGGGGTCAGGAAGCAGGTGTGAGGATACCCATCCTGGGCGGCACGCTGACACGTGGAGAGACTCCAAGACACCCAGAGGAAAGCTGAGGCAGGCAGAAAGGTCCCACTGCGTTCTTTTTTTCCCTTTTTTTTTTCTTTTTAATCCTCACCAGAGGATATTTTCCCATCGGTTTTCAGAGAGTGGAAGGGAAGGAGGTGGGGGGGAGAAACATCAATGTGAGAGAGACACATCGATCGGTTGCCTCCTGAATGCACCGAAACAGGACGGGGCCGGGGATCGAACCTGCAACCCAAGTACATGCCCTTGACTAGGAATCGAACCCACGGCCCTTAGGTGCACAGGCGGTGCTCTAACCACTGAGCCGCGCCGGCCAGGGCCCCACTGCATTCTTACACTGGGAAATGGGAAGGGGCCATGGGCAGGTAAGAGCTGAGGGGCTTCTGATGTTGTGGGAGAAAGGAAAAGGGCTGGAATGCAAGGGCCTTGGGGAATCTGTAGGCCCGTCACTCTTCGCCTCCCCTCTGCCCTCCCATCTCCGCAGCTTCCCTCTGCTGAGCTGCCACCTCCTCCATCCCGGGCTGGAGGGGAAAGTGGTCGGGGGAGGGCGCGATGGCAGTTGCCACCGGAGGTGGGAGGCCCAGGCTGCAGGGAGAAGCACCGCGGAACAGGAAGGTGCAGTTGGGGCCTGGAGCAGCCAGTGGTCACGCTGCTTCACACACACACACACACACACACACGCCATCACCGGGAACCCTCCCTACACCCCCTGCTTCCCCCGGGCTCCCTCTCACCTCCCCGTGTTCAGTCCCACAGCCACCACCGCCCCGCTGGGGTGGAAGTCAGCACAGAGGCCCGTCTCCTGGGAGGGAGAAAAGGTGAATTCAAGATGCCTTTCTAGTGAGGGATCCAAGACAGACACCTTGTCATGCCAAGGAGGGGCAGGAAGGACAGGGGCGGTGGACCTGGAGGGCAGGCGGGTGTGTGCAGGCAGAGCCTAAACGAGGTGATATTCAAAATACTGAACCACCAGAACTGAGAGCTGGGTCCGAGAGTAACCGTCAGTTGCTGGGGGGGAGGGGGCGGGGGCGGGGGGAGCGGGTACTGGAGGCATCAGCACAGAAGAAGGAACATTTAGTAGCCATACCAGTACAAACCAGCTGCCTCCGGGGAGCAGAAGGAAAGGGGATACTGAGGAAGGCGTGGGGGCCACAGGAGTCGTGGCAGGGGTGGCACTGGGGACCCGGGGACCCGGGCTCTACCTTGAGGTCGATGCTCCAGGCCAGCGCGTGGCCCTCACCATCCCACAGGCAGAGCTGCTTGTCATGGCCGCAGGTGAGGAAGCGGTTCTGGAAGGGGTGTGTGCACAGCCCCCAGAGCTCGTCCGTGTGGCCCTGCAGCAGAGCACGCGCCATCACCTCTGCCCTCCCAGCAGCTCTTCCCCCCCCGCCCCCCGAGCCCTCAGCCCCCCAACCTGGATCACAGGGGAGAAGCCCTGGGCCAGATCTCCTCGCAGCAACGCATTCTTTGTGGTTCCCACCAGCAGCTCAGAGCCCAGCCGCTCCGCGATGGCCCGCACAGCCCCGAAGTGTTCAGGAATCTGCAGTGGTGGCAGGAAGTCAGGGGGCACCGGCCATTCCTCTCCCCCCTCCCTCCCTCCGCCCCAGCCCAGCCCTCACCTCAGCTTCCTGGAGGGCCACCAAACCAGGCCCCCACTGTACCAGCCGCCGGTCCCGCCCGCCACCACTCAGCACGGTCCCGTCCCGCCGGAGACACAGGGCAAAGATGGAACCTTCATGGGCATGGGCCTGAGCCACAATCCCATAGGTCTCTGTTGGCACAGTCCTGGGCGGGTCAGACTCTCGGGGTGCAGGGAAGTGGGGAAGGGAGCAGTCTAGGCAGTCACAACAGAGCAGTAACCCCAGCTGCCTGAGGCCTGCTGGTTACCGTCTCTGACCTGGGCTCTTGTTCTTCCCAGTTTACAGACTGGACAACTGAGACTCAAAGAATGGAAGTCACTTCCTAAAGGCCAGACCATTAGTGGCAACACTGGGATCTGAACCCAGGACCTGGCAGGCCCCAAAGCCCCAGCCCTTTACTCTGTGCCATGCTGCCCCTACCTTTCTCCACGGTCCCCCAGAGAACTACCAACTCGCACGGTAAAAAAAAAAAAAAAAAAAGAGCCCTAACCGGTTTGGCTCAGTGGATAGAGCGTCGGCCTGCGGACTGAAAGGTCCCAGGTTCGATTCCGGTCAAGGGCATGTACCTGGGTTTCGGCACATCCCCAGTAGGGGGTGTGCAGGAGGCAGCTGATCGATGTTTCTCTCTCATCGATGTTTCTAACTCTCTATCCCTCTCCCTTCCTCTCTGTAAAAAATCAATAAAATATATTTTTTTAAAAATGGGTGGGGCAACCCGCTTCTCTGTTCCCATAAACCCTCTAGGGCTAGACTTCCCAGATGCCACCCCCAGCCACATACCTTTGGCTCCGCCCCTGCCTGGGGTCTTGGAATCTGAGAGGCTCCGCCCCCAGGTGAGAATGTTCCCCTCTGAGTCCCCGGTGAGGATGTCTCCATCCGGGAGGAACACGAAGCAAGGGATAAACTTGGGTTTCTTGTATTTCTGGGGGAGAGGTGAGGCCACAGGGGAGGGCAAAGGCCAAAGGTCACAGGGCAGCAGGAGGTGGGTAGCATCGGGGTCTCCAGTCCTCCAACCGCTACTTCCATCTCCATCTGCCCTCCCCCCCGCCCTGCACCCATCCACACCTCACCCCAAAGACACCCTGTTTCCGCGTGAGGGTCCCATTCCCAGGGACCCCCGCTGCACCACTCCAGTTCCAGAAGTGCACGTGCGATTTCCCGCTGGTGACAATGCAGCTGCTATCACGAGGGCTGAAGCCAACAGCCAGGACTGAGTCATTTGTGCTCTGAAGAGAAGACACTGGATTCAGCCACCCCAAGCCCTCGGCACCCTCACCCCATTGACGCTTCCTCTGCATCCTGTGGGTCTGCAGAGATCCAGAAGCCCCGGGGCACCCTTCCGTCCACACCCTGAGCCCCAAGAGCAACTGCTCCTGATTAGTCACCCGCCCGCCTGGCATGATCTCCTGTGAGGCCAGAACTTCTGCAGTCCTCTCTGCTCAGCCTCTGGGAGGCTGGGAGGCTGGGAGGCGGGCCCAGGCGACAGCCAGAAAGGAAGTAATAGGTGGGTAAGTCTGGACTCTTGGGGCCCACCACTCCCACCTCCCAACCCCAACCGGCAGTGCCTGCAGGCCACCCAGCCCCTCACCTTGATCTCAGCCAGCTTGGTGCCGCGGCCGCAGTCCCACACGGACAGCATGTGCTCATTGGAATCGTCCACCACGCAGAGAAAGGCACCCTGGTCCTGAGGGTGGGGACACGCGGGAGGGGCTGGGTGAGGACTAGAGGTCTGGGAGTTCACGGTCATTAGGCAGCTCACACCATCACACGTGGGGAGGGGAGGAGAAGCGGACACACGTCCCTTTCTCAGGAGAACCGGCTGGGCAAGGGTCAGGCAGGCCAGGATGTCTGAGACTTCCTGGTGAAGTGCAAGAAGGGGGTTCCCGGATAAGAAAGACGGGGGTCTGGAGGCTTCGGGCCAGCTCACCACCACGGAAAAGGCCAGGGCCCCCACGCCCCGCTCGAAGGCCCCCAGTCCTATCTCCTGCAGCTTCAGCAGCGTCTCCGAGTCCCACACGTGAACCACAGGCTGCAGGGGCTGGAGCGGGAGAAGGGGTCAGGCGGGGGAGGAGAGCTGGGCGAGAGGTTCCTCCTGCCCGCCTGGGTTTGAGTCTGGCCTTACCTTTCCATCCTTATCCACTCCAGCTGTCTGTCCTGAGGCGACACGAACACCATCAGGGTGGACGGCCAGGCTACGTGGGGGAGCAGATGCTCTAAGGAAGGGGGTGGGTCTCTCAAGACCACCCAGGCCGCCTCTCTAGGCTTGCCGAGCAGCAAGGCAACGCCTCTCCCCTGCTCCTCCACACCCGCCCAGGCCCTGTCTGCCAAACCCAGCATCCCCATACCTAGAGCTGCCCACTCCCGGGCCCCGGGCCCCTCACCATCGAACGCAGTCCGTGTGGCCCCGGTAATGTCTCTGGCCGCCACCTCCAGGACCCCCTGGGCCTCCCCCAGGCCGGTACAGCACCACCACACAGGCGATAAAGTAGACCACCTCCCCAGAACGCAGCACAAACAGATTAGAGCGGGAGTCACGACCCCTGTACCCGTAACTGGAGAGGGCGTCTCGGTCAAGGAAAGGGTCAGACCAAGGGCAGGATGAGGAAGAGAGGAGAACAGAGCTTCTGGCTGGCAGTGCTACCGGCAGAGGATGGTAAGGGAGGACTCAGGGGGTTCCCGTCCCTGCAGAGCCAGGAGGAAACCATAAACGGGGGGTGGGGGTCCCAAGATGGGAAAGATGGTTCCCATGGGCCTGGAGGGGGCAGGATACACCCAGTCAAGGCTGAGGGTCTCCGGGGGTGGGCCGCTGGGCAGCTCCTCAAGGCTGCGGATGCCAGATGGGATGTACATGGTAATTGGGCGGCCGCGAAGGAACATCTTCACTGAGATGCCTTCTACAGAGAGAAGGGGGGTGTCAACCACCACCCTGCAGCCCCCCTCCAGGAAAGCCAGAGCAGAACTCTACCCACCAGACCTCACAGGTCGCCCCAAAGTAGCTCTTGGGGCTCTAGCCCAAACCCTAACTCTTTCATCCAGATTCTTCCAGATGCTTCTGCACTTACCCAAATTGTAGTTGTTCCTCCGAGATCCCGGACCCCCAGGGCTGGAGAGGGGGTCTTTCCCCCCTCGGCTGTTGGGAAGACAGAAAAGCATAGGGTTTGGGGTCAGGTCCCGAGATGTACATGCAAAGGGGCCGAGCACAGAAGGGAGGCTACTTGAGGCCACAGTCACTCCCGCAGTCACGGTCTGCATTCTAGGCAACCAGGCCCTAGAGTAGGCGGACTTCCAGCTCCATCTCAGACAGGAGCCCGTGAGGCTGGGGGCTGAGCGCATGGCACCAGGCCATAAAGCTTGCAAGAGGCAATGCCAAGTGACAGGGAGGAGCCCTTTCCTCCAGACCCGCAGTTTGCCGACCACTGCTCCAGACCATCAGGCCTCTGGCTATGGAGCTTTTCACGTCCCCATCCAAGAAATGGGACAAAAATGAATCCGGAATGTACCCCAGGCCTGCCCTTCAGGGCTCTGGAAGGTAAACAAGAAAGCCCTTATCTCTCAGGAGGAAAGTAACAGAATTCCAGAGATCACCGTCACCAGGTGATAACAGGTGGTGATACCTCTGCAGAGAAGGAAGGAGACCAAGGGCAGGGCTAGAATGACCACTCCCTGTCCCGAGGCCTGTCCACGCTCTGAGACAGCCACGCTCAACCACGGGACCTGCCTTTGCTCTAACAGTCAAGTCTGGTAAATTGGAGGAAGGGGAGGGGCTGAAACTCTGAGAAGAGTCATCCATGAAAATCATGGAAGCTTCTGGAAAAGCCTCTTGGCATCTCAAGAGGTGTACAGTGATGAGGAGGAAAGGGCAAGGGACTAGAGTCAGGAAGAGCTGCGTTCGAGCCCTGCCTCTAGCTGTGTGACCCCAGACAAATGACTTACCCTCTCTGAGCCCGCTTCCTCACCTGGACAGTGAACAGCATGAGACCACCTACCCCCCAAGGGTGTCGTGGGACTGAATGAGATGGAGGAGGAGGTCGAGGACTTAGCACAGTGCCCGGAACACAGCCGGCCCCCACGAGTGCTGGTTCCTTTCTTCCTGTTGGGCAACGAGGCCCCCCCACCCCACCCAGGGAAGCGAGTGAGGGACGAGGAAACTCAAGAGCCTGGGCCTGGGGTGGGGCAGGGTGGGGAGCCTCGCCCACCTCTCCGTGCTCCCTGACCGCAATAACAGGTTGGCCGAGGACGCTGCCTTCCGGGAGAGCTTCTGTCGAGGCCGCTCTGAGGGCGATGAAGAGGAATTTCTCCGCGCCCTGAGAGGAGCAGCGAGCAGGTGAAGGTCATCCCCTCTAACCATGCTCCCCAGTCCTCTCCCTGCCAACCCCCCAACCCCCCTGCCCTGCCTCGGCCACAGGACACTCACGTGTCGGTGCACTGGGGGGGCTGTACAAGCCTGAGGATGCCCGGAGAGCCCGTGCCCCCCGGGGAGCCAGCGCCCCCAGGGGAGCCAGTGCCACTGCTGCTGCTGCCCCCTCCTTCAGACTGGGTTCCACTAGGCTCTTCACTGCCCCCCTGAGGGGCTGGGGGCCCATTGCTCAGGCCAGGGGTTCCCGGGGATGCCTCCATCTCCACCTCCGTCTCCGTCTGGGTGCCTCGGCTCACCAAGGAGGGGCTGCACGGGGGTGGCAGTCCTGGGGGGGCTGCAGGGCTGCTGAGGAGACAGGGAATCAGTCCCTGCCCGCTGAGCCCCCGGAAGGAGGAAGAGGGGGTGACGACAGGCATACCTGGCCCTGGTGGGAGCTGCCGGGCCAGGGTCCTGCAGGGAGGTGGGGGGCGCCTGCAGCCGCAGCAGGCGCAGGGCTTCGGCCAGGGCGGCCTTCACCAGCTCCATCTCCTTCTCCTGCACCTGGAGCCGCTGGCTCAGGGCCTGCAGGGCCTGCTGAGCAGGGCCCTCGCCTGGGAAAGGGGAAGGCGCGCTCAGAAGGCCCCGCCACCTGGGGGAAGCTGGAGGCTTCTTTCTCCCCGCAGCTTTGCATGGGTGCAGGACTGCGGCCCCGAGGGGAGGAGACGGTGCGGAGGGCCCAGGGCCTCCTCCTGGCGGGCAGGCGAGGAAGCTGGCAGAGCGCCGTTCCTGCCGCCGTCCAGGCCTCCGCCGGGCAGGGCGGACCGGGAGCGCGGAGTCCTGCCAGGGGGCGTGGGAACCAGAGCGGGAGCCGCAGGACGGGTGAGGGCCCAGGGCCCACCCAGCGCAGCTCGGTCTCCGGGGAAGGCGGGAGCCCGGGCAGGCAGCCCGGGGACAGAGCGGGGCCACAGGGTGAGGACCAGGAGGAGAAATGCAGTGACAGGAGAGGGCACCGGTGCAGACAGAGCCACGGGGCAGGTCCCGGGGAACCGGTGGGGGTCAGAAGCAAAAAGACACGAAATACCGGCAGGAGAGGCCCAGGTGCCTGGGACCGGGGACACCCAGGTGCGGAGCAACGGGGGGTGGGGGTGGGGTGGGAGGATGGCGCGGGTACGTCCGAAAGGACAG